GAATGGGGGGGAGCATATCAGAGCGCAAGGTGCTGGGGGGAATTTTTGAAGGTTTAGAGGGGGTGGTGAGGTTTCCAGAAAGGGAAATGAGGGTGTCTAGAGGGAAGCATGGCGGGGAGGGCGAGAGGAGGGGCACCCAGGCTTGGAGAAGACGCGAAGGCCGATGACGCCAAGAGTAGCCATGGTGGAATGTTGAGGGTGTGTGAGAAAGAAAGCAGAGATGGGATTAGCAGCAGGTAGAAGCATTGTGCCCTGCGGAGAGTGATGTGTGTGTGTGTGTGTGTGTGTGTGTGTGTGTGTGCGTGTTTGTGTGTGCGCGCGCTCTGTGTGTGCATGCACCCTTGGTGCGTTTGCAGCGTATGTGGTTTGCCAGAGGTGTGTGTGCGTGCGCGCGCCTGCGCTTGGATTTGGCATGTGTCAGGTATGTGTGTGGCATGTATTTGGCATGTGTGCGTGTGCGTTGGACGGGTAAAGCTGGAAGGTGAACAAGGGAGGTTCCATAGGGGAAACGAAGGTGGCTATGAGTGGAATAAGGGCTGAACATGGTGGACAATGGTAACGTTCAAGCCAGAGGTAATACTCAGTCTATAGCAGGAGAGAAAGAACTAGAAGCCAAAAAAAAAAAAAATTAAAAATGGAGGGAGGACAGTGGGAGGATCCCAGGCAACAAAAGGGGTGGGGCTTTGCATGAATCCTGGGTGAGGGGATTTCAGGAAAAGCCATCTGGAAGGGAAATGAGGGATGGATGACTGCTGAGCTACAGGCTTTTGAAGGGTTCCTTAGAGATGAGGTTTTTCCAAACCTGGTGGTGTATCAGAATCACCTGATGCGCTTGAGGAAGAATAGAGATTCCCAACCAAAGGCCATAGCCATAGCGTCCTCTCTGGAGGAGGTCCAGTAATGAACATTTTTCAGGATGCTGGCCCCAGCGACTTTGAGATGCAGCCAGGTTCAGAAAGTCTTGCTTTATACAGTAGAATACTTGGAGAGGAGGAAGAAAAGATTTTAGCTCCCACAATTCGATTTTATAGCTCCTCCAATTCAGACTGCTCTAAACACGGCTCAGGGGGTGTGTCACATCTCCAGTGCTTCCTTCCTCATTAGTCCGAGAAAGGGAAGAATATAGAAAGCCGTTCCCAGTCCATTTTACTCTCCCAACCCACCCCATCTAGATCGGATGTGTTAAGGTTCTTAGAGCATTCTCTCACTAGTTGATCCTTGTAGACATTATTGAATACCTCCTTTCTGTAGGTATGTAACTGTTAAAATCATTTAAAAACCACACTGACGTTATGTGTCACTTCGAGTAGCGCACTTAGAAGCATTATTGATAAACATAATTATGTAAGTACCTGTTATTACTGAGCTAAATCATAACATAATCAAAACATAAGCGTGGGGCATCATTATATGATTATGGTTTGCAGAGTCATTGAGAGGAATGTCACCCGTGCCCAGAGCACAAAACGGAATCAGGCAACCTGCATGCTAGTCCTGGTTGGATCACTGACCAGCTTTGTGACTCAGTGCAAAGTATTGTTCTTTCCGGGTCTTAGTTTACTCTCTGCACAATAAGGATATCCCAGTGAGATCTCTAAGTCTCTTTGATGTACTGTCATTCTGTGAGTTCACGACTGCGTGACTTCATCGTGGTAGAAATGATACTCTGCGTAATAAAGGATTCTTTAAAGTTATTCATGCAAGTGCCTAGTACTCTATGCAAGTCACTGTTGTAGGGGCTGGAAATCTAGCAGTTAGCAAATAGACACAAATCTCTGCTCGCGTAGTTTACATGCTAGTGAATATATGTTGTGGTAAATAATATGTGTTCACCAGACTCTCTGAGTTTATTTCTTTTCCATATGAGACAAAGAGACAGGCATCACCCCCTCCCCACCCCAACAGGGTATTCACACTGCAGTTTTTCCCAAGTGTCAGTCTGAACACCAGTGTACGCACACCCCATGTACTCAGGAACATCCCAGGACACAAAGCTAGGACATTTCCTATGTGAGTACATTACCACTGCACCACTGCTTGGCCCTCCAAAGACTTTTGATGATCCCCCAGACCTTTAAATATTCTTGAGGTTTGCTAGGTAAAGACCAACTCTAATTTCTGGTGTGGTGAGGTCCAAACCAGTACTGTTTGCGTGTTTACAAGCCCTAGGTAATACTGTTTTCACTAGAGGTGTTCATTTGTGAAACGTATGTGAAGGTTTTTTTTTTTTTTTTTTTTATTTTTTTGTTTTTTTTTTTTTTTTTTTAGCTGCTAGTAGAAATGGCAGCATGTAATGATAATTATAAAACAACAACTTTTTTGTTTGTAATCTTTTTTTGGGAGGGGGGAGAGATTTTTGCTACAGAGCATGTGTGCTCACCAGACAGACAGACAGACACACAGAGAGAGACAGAAAGCAAGAATTCACCCCCTGGAGTGGGTCTGGCCACAGTCCCTTCTCTTGGGATCTTGTGCACGCACACACACACGTGCCTGGCATGAGTTTTATGTCGCCCAGTCCAGGACTTGAACCACAGTCAATTAGGAAGGAGTCAAGTAACATAAGCATTACGCTATCTGCTGGTCCCTCTGTGTACTCTTAATAATATTTAAAGGTTGATCATAAAATTGTATTTAGTTTGTAAGACATTTCTTGGGTTGAGGTTTCAGGTGATCAGGCCATATTGAAACTTGATCCATTCTCATACATGGCCTAGTCGTTACCTGCTATTTTGGGGAAACAACACATTGTTTAAAGTACACCAATCTCTTTATTTACTTGTGCAATATTTAAATAAGTCTGAACATCCACTTCAAGTACATACAGAATGTGATTCACTGCTCTCTTACACAGAAATTCAGTAAAATACATACGATAGCATTCTACGTTTATAGAGCTATTTAGGGTGTTGATACAAGCCCACATTTTCATGAACATTTTTGATATTTTCACAGCCCTCTCAAGCCTTCCAAAACAGTTTGAGGAAGCTGATCTCTGTGCTCAGTCTCTCATTTATTGACAGTTAAGGTTATGTAACATGTGGATAGATTTCTGAACCACAGACACTCTTATAAAATGATTTCTTCTTCAGATGCCACGAGTTAGTGTTTAATAGTCTCGCAACCAAAAAGATGTCTCATAGATACTTTTGACTGACTAGAACATATTAGAATACATTTTTCAAAGGAAGTGTTTTTATTTACACATTAGTGCGTATTAACCTAAGAAAGTACAACTCTGGCTGGTGTAGCCCAAATGCCTAGAACAGTCAGGCTCTGGGTTCAATGTCCTAAAGTTGCATTCTAACCCATGGACTGACTCGGTGTTATCTTGGATCATTCCCTTCCTTCTCCACCCCAGAAGATAACCATTTCTGGCTTGTTTATTAGCTGTTTGAAAAAATCAGGAGATGGATGAAAATGGATAGCATTTTGATTTAGTTTTAAGTTACTTAAAAGTTTAATGACAGCAGCTCTTTCAGTGTCCCGCAGATAGTGATCAAAGTATCGACATTGATTGTGGTTTCCAAATGAAATTTGATATTCTATGTTGATGGGTAAAGAAGTCATTTTCTGTGTATGAACCCCAGGAAAAAACCATGTACCATCTACTAAAGAATTTGTCTTTGGTTTTGTTTTTAAAGAGGGGCCGTACGGGGTCTTTGCTGGAAGAGATGCATCCAGGGGCCTTGCCACATTTTGCCTGGATAAGGAAGCACTGAAGGACGAGTACGACGACCTTTCTGACCTCACTCCTGCTCAGCAGGAGACCCTGAGTGACTGGGACTCTCAGTTCACTTGTAAGCGCTTTTTAAATTGTACCTGGGTCAAATTTCTACCAGTAATGGGGATTTGTGGCAGGACAATAGTTATTACTAAGCAGCCTGAAAGTTGGGTGCATTTTGATAGGCTCCTGAATCTTGGCTGGATCAAGTTCATGGCTTGAAGTAATTGCAGCAATGCTGAGTCACTCGCTATGATTGCATACCAATTTTTAGCCAGTTCTCTATGGAAACCTGGATTTCTGGTTTGGACTTGTAAGTGTCTACGAGGTTTGCAGAGATTCCACACTACAATTCGGTGCTTGGTGTATAGGGGAAAGGACAGTGGCCATCTTGACCACAGAAAGAGGGATTTTCATAAGCCCTCACTTGTGGAGCTTGCCGTTTAAAAGCAGCCCACATCTCTGTTGAAGAATGGGAGACTTGTATTCTGCAAAACAGCTTCTCTTTGAATCTAATTGAGCCTGACTATAGGCCTCATCTACAAATGATGCTTATAATCTGCCCAGCAACAATGGTGTCTGCATTTTTAAAAAGAAAGACAAAAAGAGACACTTGTTTCTAACTTATGCTAGGATTGAATCTCTAGGGAGCAAGTAGAAATGAGAGGTTAAGTTCAAATTTTGAGGATTCAATAATCGGCTTCTGTCAAACCTGAGTATTTAATTTTCACTTTGGCAATATTTCAGTGCCAAGAATGTGAATAATAACTTTTCCCAGCTTTATGAGTCAGTATACAAAGACGATGACCACTGGGAGGAAGATTCTTCATTTAAAATGTGGTTTTCTATTTGCTCTTCTCTATAATTAGTTAAATATTACATGTGTTATTGCCTATTTCCAACTCTTTTCTTTGAAAATAATGCTGACCTCAGAGCTCTGAGTTAATAATTAGCCCGATGTAGCTCTACCTTTGAGTTTGGGTCCCAAGCAGACTGAGTGAGTATTAGCTTTCAAGTCTAGAGGCAAGTCTTTTTACTTTGGAAACATAATTCAGCTGCCCAATATTTTGCATGCTAAGATTGCCTTTGTAATTAGCCTTTTTGGTTTTTTGTTGTTGTTGTTATTATAGGGCGCATGCGCTTGCCAGAGAGAGAGAGAGAGAGAGCAAGAAATTCCCCGATGAGGGATGGCCATATCACAATCCCTTCTCCTCCAGTCTCCTCTTGGGATTTGGGGTACACATGCCTGGCATGATTTTCAAGGCACCAGGTCTGGTACTCAAGCCTCACAGCTGGCCATGTAGGATCTGGTGCCTTAAGCTCCATGCCACCTGCTGGCCCTGATAGTCTTCTATACGAAATCAGTGAGCTATAATTCTAACTTACAAAGCTCTATTTTTTTATGACTTGTCTTCCACAATGGGAAAAGAAGTGCAACACGCCCCTCTACCCCCAAGCTAAAACTAGCCTCAAATACTGTAGTGACACCTCAGCTACACTCAAAGTTAGGGTGGATAACCCTTGAGGCAGGTTTCCCAGGCACCACCCGGCTTTTATTTGTCTCATACAGTCCCAAGCACCCTAGGGACCTTTATACTATGTTTAAATAGGGAAGTTTCAATTGTTCCCAACGATTATTTCACACAAAAGCAGCTCTGGTTACCTGGTTAGACAGGATGGTTACTTCTCTAGTTCCTGCCCATATTTAGAAAGAGGAAACTTGGTCCTCTTGGCTTTTGACATTGAGATGATTAACCCTGCAGCCGTTTGGCTGCTGCAACAGTGTGATGGTTTATTGATTCCATCCCTTTTCCATTTTTGCCCTCTGGTTTTTTTTTTTTTTTTTTTGCCATGTTTGTTGCTTTCTTTTCAATTGTTAATATTTTGCTTTTTAAACATATTTTATAATTTATTTCCGTTTAATTGTGGTATATCTTTGCTGGTTTGCATTCTTAAATCTCTTTTCTCCAACATTTCCAGTCCTCTTGGCTCCTTTATCACTTCTAACTACCCATAGTTTTGTTTTTGTTTTTTCCCCCATCCTGGGGCAGGGGGGAGTCTGTTTCCTGCTGTCCTCTCTATGCACTGGAATATTATTCCTTCCCTTTACTGTCAAACAAACTAATCAATTATCATCCCTGACCACTGCTTCCTTTCATAGCTATGCTTCCTTCCTCCCTCTAGTATACCTTTTATCCCCCCAACTGGATTGAACTCTTTCTCAAAGGTTTCCAGGGACCTGCTTCTTGACAAGACTCATTTCATTTCTCCAGTCCTTGTGGATCTACTGTCATGTGCCCTTCCAGAGTGGCTCCTTCTACAGACTCCCCATTTTGGTCCATGGGAACTTCAGTTTTCATCGACTCATGTTTCCAGTTTTCTTTTGTAGTATGTCATATCGTTTCCTTTCCATTTTCATGGGTACCACTCTACTCCTGGCTCTGGCTCCTTCACACCTGGAGACCGAGACAGAAAGGGAGAAATCACCCCCCGGGGAGGATGGCCACACCACAGTCCCTTCTCCATTCTCCTCTCGGGATTTTGGGCACACACACACACATGCCCAGTGTGAGTTTTAGGTTGACGGGTTCTGGACTCAAATCACTGTCAGTTATGTGGGAGTTCAGCAACATATCTATTACACCATCTGCTGGTCCCCACACTAAACTAACTTCCTATTGGCCTGTCCCTATTCGCTTCTTACTGAAATCTGCCCATATCCCACAGTGATCATTTTATTGCTAAGGCACTATTTTCCCATGTCATTCTTTCACTTATAAACCTTCAGTACCCTTTGCCATCTATAGGATAAGTCCAAACTCCTCAGGCTGGCTTTTCAGATCTTTCATAATATTTTCTCACACTACTTAGCCAACTTTATCTCCTACTACTCCCAGATGCCAACTCTACTCTTGCCAACTTGCTTTCTTTATTGCTTCCCAGATATGTTCAGTCTCACTGTATGCCTTTATATATAGTATTTTCATTTTCTGGAAATCTCTCCCTACCCATAGCCTATTTAGTTTCAAAAGCATATCCTTCTTCCACAAGGTCTTCTGTAGCCCTTCTAATGAACTCATAACAAACCCTATCTCTTCCAAATACTCCCTATATGTAAATGCAGTACATTTTTGGCATGCCATGCATACTCTTGCCATTCGTTGTTACCTCTTTTATATTGCTGTCTTCTGAGCAAAACTCTTTATTCCCCATGGCAAGGACTGCGGTGTAAAACAACTTTGTATCCTTCCAGACACCTAACACACTGCTGAGTTTTGCAGGTCTCTCATAAATGCTTGACAATGAAATGTGTTAGTGACTTTTTTATAGCCACGAGAATGACCATTTCTGTTTTCTTCTCTACTTCCAGTCAAGTACCACCACGTGGGCAAACTGCTGAAGGAAGGGGAGGAGCCCACTGTGTACTCAGATGAGGAAGAACCAAAAGATGAGAATGCTCGGAAAAATGATTAAAGCCTTTGGTGGAAGCATATCTATTTTTGTATTTTGCAGAATCATTTGTAACATTCCAGTCTGTCTTTAAACATGGTGATTTCGATATTTAGAAAAGTTTTGGATTTGCTGTACATTTTCTAATTAACATCACTAGTGACACTGACAAAATTAACTTGTCTTAGAATGCATGATAAGTTTGAGTGTCACAAATCCAGAAAGAACTGCAGTGCTGTAATACAAATGTTATTACTGTTTTTCTTCTAGCTGTAGTTAGTACAGGCTGAATTTAAGTTTGTTTTGCCTGAGAGACAGATGAGACTTGAGTATTTCCCCAAACAGGTGAAAATGTTGTGTGCACCAAGAACAAAGGATCAACTTCTAGTCATGATGTTCTCTAAAGACAACAAATCCCCTTTTTTCTCAATTGACTTAACTGCATGATTTCTGTTTTATCTACCTCTAAAGCAAATCTGCAGTGTTCCAACAGCTTTGGTTTTGATGAAAGAGAGCTGTTCAGTAAACAAAATGAAATCTCAATGCTGCGCTCAGTGGCAAAAACACACTCGCTGGGTTTCTGGACCGCTCGATTGTCCTTGCCCTCACATGGACATTCAAACACCCTCATAAACACAGTAATCTACTTTAGGATTAAAATGGGATCTGAGCATTCAAAAGAAAGCTTTGGGGAAAAAAACCAGCTGGCTTGCCTGAAATCCTAAATAATAGGAAGCAGATTGTAGGACTATCTTCCCAATCCTCATGTTTTTGGTGGGGCAGTAGTTATTTGGTTACTTTACACAATTTGAAATGAGAGGGAGACATACAAAACAGGAAAAGGTGTTCGCCCTCCTGAGAGCCTTCATATAGAAGGATGACAAAATGAGGAAACAGTACATGTCACTACCGAAGTTGTTTTTAAAGTATATTCATAAGGTGACAGTTATTCTTATGTTGTTAACTAAACTCTAGCCACTGCAAAAGTAGTAGTCAGGTGTCTAGGTCTTTGATATTGCTCTTTTGGTTAACACTAAACTTAGCTTAACTAGACTCTAGAGTTGTTTGAATTTGTAAAAATGTTATATGAACTAGTGAGGTTTCAGACTCTTGTAATTGTAGGAAAACCGTCCTTGTATATTCTTGTGAACTGTGTTTAATGGTTTTACCTCAAATCAGAAAACAAAATGAAGTGCTTTGGTCAGTTAATAAAATGGTTTACCCAGTATAGTGTGGTGACTTATTTAAAATTTTTTCAAATCTTATTCTTTTTTAAAACATATTTTTATTTACATTTAATCAGAGCATATCTGTACAGCATACAAAATAGTTTTTCCAAGCATGAGTAGAGTATATTAATCTAAAGATATTACCATATACATTATCACCAGATAACTGTTAAATTTTTATATCTTTTAAATGTCCCACTCCCACTTGGGCCAGCAGATGGCATGGTGGTTAAGGCACTGGGCTCCCACATGGCTCACCACAAACCAAGTGGTTCGAGTCCTGAATTCAGAAGCTTGCTTTCTCACTTTCCCTTTCTGATTCTCTCTCTGGTGAGTTAAAAAAATAAGTACTTCTTTTTCAAAACTGTTTTTACTCTGATCCCCTCTCACCCACTATTACCCACCCCTTCTATAGTGTCTCTAGTATCCACAGTTGCTCTCCCTAGTTTTATACCTTCCAGTCTCAGTTTCTGCCATAGAGTGCAGACATTTGGCATATATTAAGCAGAGGCATACAATGCTGCCTTTTCGTAGTCTGGCTTGCTTTGCTTAGCATTAAGTCTTCCATATTCATCTGCTTTGTATCAAATGTTAGAATCTCATTGTTATGGCGGAGTAGTAGTCCATAGTGCATATGTGCCATATTTTTTCAATCCATTCATCTGTTCTTGGACATTGGGGTTGATTCAATGTCTTAGAAATTGTGAATAATGCTGCAATCAACATGGATGTGCAAGTGTTTTTCCAAGTGAGGGTTAAACCCTATTCAAAGGAAACAGATTCAATCATTGTCTTTTAGCTTAAAATTCAGACATATTTGCAGAATTTTTGTATTCCAAAAGAATCAAGGGGGCAAAACATGAGACCTCATCACAAACCAAATTCCAGCTTGTGTTGTTAAGAAATAGTGACTTTGGGCCAGCTAGGTGGCATGGTGATTAAGGCAGCTGGATGCCAAGTGGCCACCTGCATGGCTCAAGTCAGACCAGGTAACTTGAAAAACATGCCAGGTGTGTGTGCCTGTGTGCCCAAAACCCCAAAAGGGGAAAAAGGAGAAGGGTCTGTGGTGTGACCATCCCCCATGGGGGGGGGGGATGCTTTGTCACTTAACCTCTCTATCTCTCTAGCAAATTAAAAAGTGAAAGAGTTATTTCAATAGCTTTCTTGTCACTTGTCACATTCTGCCTCTGGGCAGAATTTGAACTTTCTAAAAGTTTTTTTTGAGAGATTTTTGCTATAGGGCGTATGTGCTCACCAGAGAGGCAGAGACAAAAAGCAAGAAATCACTGCCCCTCTCCAGGAGAAGGCCATACCTCAATCCCTTCTCTTGCATTCTCCTCTCAAGATTTTGAGAATGCACACACATGCACCCAGAGTGAGTCAAACTGCCAGGTCCAAGACTTGATCTGCATCCAGCCATCTTGGAGTCCAGCAACATAACCATTATGCTATCTGCTGGTCCCGGAACTTTAGAAATTTAAAAGGCAGCCCTCCACCTTGAAGTCTATAGCAAAATTAATAAAGGGTAATGTTACCGAAGACATTGTATTACCAAGTGCTATGGAAGGGTTTTGTTTTTGTTTTAATGCCTTGTCTGATAGGAAAATATCAGGAATCAGAGTAAAGTTCATTCACCTCATGTCTAAAGGATAACAAATGCACATATGCGATCAGTTGTATAAACATGAGCCATGAATATTAATGTTGAAATTGGTAGGTTTCTTGCGAGAAATGTGCTCCCCGAACCAGAGAAAGCTCACAGGTTTTTATTTTTCATGTCTGTCTCATGTGATCAAACCATGTTGCATGTATTTGTTTAATGTGTTTGTCTCCCTCTTAGTTTTGTTCAACAAATATTCAAGCGTCTATTTTGTGCCAGACAACCTTATACTTTGGGGGAAAGAGGTGGGGAAGAGAAGTTAGGCCTTTGCAGCCTGAAATCTCATTTAGGTGTGAAGATTAGGCTACTCCTCTTACAAAGTTAAATAGGCTTGAATGATGCCAAGAGGAAGACATCCAGAGCCTTGTAAAAGCTTCAGCCCCAATAGCCAGAATCCCCTCCATTCAGAGCATAGAGCACATGTAAAGGGATATCGCCAGCAGGTAAGAGTTTAATCCAAAAACTTTCTCAAATCTAGTGAGCATATACATAAGCTGTATTATGTAAATGCACCACTGAGGAAGATGAGGTGTCGCCGAAGTAACCCAAGTTCGCTCATCCACACACAAGCCAAACTAGACAAGGTGTGATGAAGGAAAGTGCAGTTTCATTGGCATGTGCAAAGCAAAGAGAGCAGACAGCTAGTGCTGAAAAAGCCTAGACTCCTCAAAGAGGTCCCCGCATGCATTATTTTTAAAAGAATTTTTTTTATTTAACTTTATTTATTCATTTATTTTATTTTAGTTTGATCAGAGAGGGGCAGAGAGAGAGAGTGAGAAAACAAGCTGCCAGGAGTGGGACTTGAACCCAGGTCAGCCATGTGGGAGTCCAGAGCCCTTTACCACTATGCCACCTGCTGGCCCCTCTGCATGCATTTTTAAGGGCTAAGTTAGGGTAGGCATTCTTGGACACACAATCAACTTGACATCAGGTTCAAGAAAGCATGCCATCTTGTGAGCTTTCTTGATTGGTGGATCCTTAAGTAATCAATTTCTATTCTGAGAGGGGACAGTTACCAGGTCTCTGGCACCATTCAGTCTGGGGTCTATTGTGCTCACAGTCAGAAATTTCCATTCTGCAAAACATTGGAAGAATTTGAGTTAAAACTTTATCTTTTCCCAGAATTGTGAGTTTGAGAATCTTATGGCCCTGACCCTTGGCCAATATTAGTTAATTACCATACTATTCTCTAATTCCTGCAGATGAGAAGGCAGAGGGGGGGGGGTTACAAGTTCTTGGGGGAAGAATTTGAATTTGGGAGCATAATGGGAAAAAGGGGTGATGGGCCACACTGTAAATTCATTATCACTTAAAGGTTGTTTGGTCACCAAAGTGGAGTCTCAAGCCTTCAGCCATTAAAATTTAAATGGACCTCTGGGACCAGCAGGTGGCACAGCAGTTAAAGTGCTGGACTCCCACATGACCACCCACGGTTATACATGGCCCACTGTGGTTTGAGTCCCAGAACTGGTGGCTTGAAATTCATGCTGGGTATGTATGCGTGTGTGCCCAAAATCCTGAGAGGAGAATGGAGAAGGGATTGTGGCATCACCCCCAGGGGTAATTTCTCACTTTCCCTCTCACCATCTCTCTCTGGTGAACCAACATGCCCTATAGCAAACAAATAAATAAGTAAAAACTCAATTAAATGTACTTTAAATTCTAAGCAGTTTAGAAAGATAGTTTCCATTCAGCTCTGTCAAGTTGGAGAATTCCCATTTTTTCCTCAACAGAAGGGGAAAATGAGGGCCCAAACTTCTTCGGGACTCACTGCTCAGTTTCAGGAATGGTGGTAGCAAGAGCCACACATCCAGTCGGGGAGGTGTCAGGCTAACATCTGTCCGCTCCCCACCTGTCATCCAACCAGTACCAGTACCTGTTTTACACACAGTATTCACTGCATGTTTTCAATATTTGTCTGTGGGTTCTGTGTAAAATGAAACATTCACTTTCCCTCAGAGGGCCAAATTTATGCAAATCCTAGATCGGAACGAGTACCCATACATTGCTTGCTGTTTTGGAAAGAGCTCATTGAACACAGTAAGGTCCCTTTCAGCTCTAAAGTGCCAAGATTTTACTCTAAGGTACGATCTGCCTTTGTTACATAACACTTAAAGGCAGTTTCCTGTATATTTCATGTGAAAATATAGTTAACTCTTGAATGGCCAAAGTCTGACTACTGAGGCCTCTAGTGTTTCCAACCAGACACCCCATTCCACACCCACAACTATTTCTGGGTATTGTGTAACTGTAACACTTTCACCCAGTGCTAAAAGGATGAGATGAAATAATACAGAATCAATTTTACTACTTTTTAATACCACAGATAAAGTATATGTTGAAGTGCAGATAATCTTAAATCTAAGTATCATTGATGCCAATTCATCCAAAATGAAAATAAAACTCCAGTCTTCAGTTACACAAGTTCTGACAGTTTCCACACCCTTGCATCATGAATGAAAAAGTTACAAAGAAAGAACATTAAAATTAGACATTTTAGGGGGCTGGCAGGTGGTTGAGTCCCATATGTGGAAGCTTGCTTTCTCACTTTCCCTTTCTCTCTCTCTGGTCAAATTAGAAAACAATAGTACATAAAACTAAGTGAATTCTTTTTAAAAAATTAGACATTTATTGAAAATGTTACTATGGGGCCAGCATGAGGCACAGTGGTTAAACAGCTGGATCCCACATGGAGGCTTGAAAATCACACAGGGCATGTGTGCAAGGGTGCCCAAAATCCTCAGAGGAGATTGGAGGAGAAGGGACTGTGGCACGGCCATCCCCCGTGGGGGAGGATGCTTTCTCATTTTCCCTCTCTCTCTCTCTCTCTCCAGCAAGCAGAGCATCCTACAGCAAATTAAACAAACAAAAAAAAAGCTACTTAGTTGTGTGGCATTCTAACCAATTCATATAAACGATCAAAGAATCAAGGGTCAATATGACAATTTTATCTTTAATATATCTGAAAATTAAATATTATTTCTCTAACAATGCAAATGAGATCAAAGATGAGCAACATTAGTGCAAAGCAGCATACTACAGGGAGAAATCTCCCCCCCCACCCCCGCAGTAGAATTATCAGCATTGATTTAAAAATTAACAATTCAAATAGTTGGACAGCAAATAAAAATACATTTATTTGGTTCTTATTTTCGAAATCACCAGGTTACATGGCTTTCTACCTGAGAAATTCAACCAAATGAAACAAAAGACATTGACAGGTTTTTAGCTTTTTTCTTACAGCACTACAGCAGCACGTCTGTGTAAAAACATGAAAACACCTATTTAAAAAGACAAAGTTTTAAACTTCAGGCCCTTATTTGATAAGACACAGAAAAGAAAAAGATATGATGAAATACTTTTGCACCACTTAAATATAAGCATAACAGCACAACAAAGAATAACCATGTTAATTAATAGAGTATGACTATAATATTTTTCCATTCTTTTCATTCCTTATTAAGCTGTTCAACTGAAAAGCAAGAGAGAAATTGTTCTCTTTCTTGTTTAAGGCCTACACACAAAAAAGAGGTTGACTCAAATCTAGAATGATTACCACAAGACAGATAATATAAAGTCAGGGTTGTACAGAAAGTAAACAGAAAACCAGTATTTTTACTTTCTTCTAGGTCCCAGGACAGTATTTTGCAAACAATCAAAACAAGAAGAAGATGAGATAGCACCGGTTCTATTATACAAAAGGAAACAATTGTACATGCCATATCCTGCGATTTCTTTTCTCTGACTTTGTACTGAGCAGCAAATTGCTTCTGTGCCTAAAAACTCTGCAAAGAAAACGGATCAAAACAGACTGAACTGAGATTTTTTTTTTTCCAAAACCAGCATAGCTGCTTTCCATTACAAATCCATAGTGTTCTTTGTTGTAGTGGCATGAAACATGAAAAACTAAAGAGGCAGCTTTTCACTGAAGGAGAATATACCTAGTTAGCAGAAGTTGTCTGACAAAATACAAGCTGTTAGTAGTTTAAAAGGCTATTCTGGACAACAGTACTTTGAACATTAATAGTCATTGCTAGTCCTCAAAGGAGAAAAGGCACTGGCCCCGTGAGCGATTTTTCAGATTTGACAAGCCAAATCTCGTTTTGATGGCAGAGTCACTGGCTCAAAAGTGAAATTGAAGATAAAAGAGTCAACAAATTTATTGGTTATTATCTTAATAATAAACATGATCTGTTCTATTACATTCTTTTCTGAAATTTTTTCCTGTACTAACACACCTCTACTTAGAAGTTATCAAAAGAGATCAATGAAGTCACTTGTGACTCTTACTTCAAATAAACGAGGAGATTTTGGAGCTCCTTAAGACACTAAGTTGCTCAAGAGGGCTCTTGCAACAATGTGGGCAGCCACACTGACTGGCATTCTTCCTGGCTCTACCAGCTCGTACTGTCCTAAAGAATATCAAATGAAGACTATTTGAAATGAACTGTGTTCTATGAAAATGTTGCCCTCCACTGCTTCTATGGGTTAAAAAATCACCCTTTTTTTGTTTCAGGCAGTCTCTAATCTCATTCATATCTTCACTTGCCAAGTTAGGTATAGCTTTGTTGGGTGGGGGAAAAGTCATCTACAGCTCCTGAGGTCCTAAATCCAGTATAAGGCAGAATGAATCAGCCAAGCTCTCTCTAGAACATGCACTGCGCTGAGATGTAAATCTTTAAGAATCTATAAAATATCTCAATTTAAAAACATATTTAAGAAGTCCAAAACCAGTAGATAAAAAGATAAATTGCTTATGTTGAGTTTACAAATCCTACACACGTATAATTTTTTCCCCAGCTAGAAAACTATGGGCTTTTCTCTTGATTCTTCCTAACTCCATGGCATTATTGGGGATTAGGGAGGCACTTGTTACTGTGTTATAAAAGTCAATTTGGGGATATTCAGTGACTTTTTACAAACTGATGTCACCCAACCCTGAGTGAAAGGATTACATAACCTGAAATGGAATACTGTACCATCCAAATGCCATCATTGGTCCCCGAGGATCTTTCAATATTTCCTTTCGTCAATCCCACTGGTTATATCACTTCAAACCTGTTGCTTTTCTGGGATGAAAAGACATGGGGTTCTTAAAACAAAATGAAACTCTGTTAATGGTCCCTTATCTATTTAAACATACAAAGACAATCTGAGCCCCTTTTACAATTCTTCTCCAAGACTTTTTCTCTGAAAAGGACAGCTCTTTGAGTACTATGACCATATGAATATGATTAATTTCCTCTGGTGGGTGTTCATGAAGCTCTCTTAGTCATGAAGAAGTCTTTTATATGTTCTAGCTGTCATCTCTTTTTTTATCTATAAATATTTCTACAAAAGTCAGAAACATTTGTTACTACGCATGATATTTCCGACCAAATCTAGCAGGTGAAAGATCCTATTCATTCACTGTTGTCCTCTTTGAAGATAAATGATACCAAATGATGATGTTATGACAGCTAAAGAGCCACAGAGGGCTATCTCAACCCTTCTCGATGGTAATCTGCTCCTTCGCTGGCACCAAATTAAAGTTGCAATCAAACTGGAGAAACATCTGTCCTTGGATCCAGAAGTTTAGCAAGTGCATTGTTTTACTCAACTTTAGAATCTGGATGTTTCGTATTTCCAAAACTTGCCAACGCACCTGCAGTCACTGTGATCTATGCTTTAAACTTTGGCAAGAGACACTAGGTTTTGCATTTGACCCTGCTCAAGCGTTTAAATCCTTCTCTCTTGCTCTGTAGTTGCTAACTACATAGCTATATTTGGTTTTATGGTTTTTCCTTGTGAATTGTCTCTTGTGAACAAGAGTGTTCCTGGTCTAATGGCCATTAAAACATTTGAAAATATAAAGAGCTAGTGTAGTTGTTTCCTACATAGCTTCTACAGTCAATGTGCTCCTGAACGTTATGCCTAATATAATAATTACCAGAACTGAGCATGAAATCTTTAGAATTCTCATGTCTTTGAAGCCTTCTTGCATCCTGGTAATATTCTGACTTCCACAGAGTCTCTCTTCTTTTGGTACCATCTCCCAAATAGAAAGCATTAGCACTTTTGGATGATGTTATTGGCACACGAGAAGGTCTATAGTTCACTTTCGGGTTAAATGTCCTGCTGCTAAACCTCCTCCGCTTTCTTGTGATGTCCTCTAACAGATCACCAGAACTGGATTCATAGTAATAGCCTTCATCAAACAAGTATTTGGGGGCTACTTTTTCCCTCTTTTTGCTGTTGTTCTCATCTCTAATGGAACTGTTTTCGCTTTCAAGCCATGAATATCTCAGTTCATACTTGGACCTCTTGCCTGGTGTCCTAAGCTTGTATTTAGAGTATTTTTCCTCTCCATCATGTTTCCACTCTGAATATAAGATCTGCTGACTTGACCTAGTTTCTTGTTTGCAAGTGAGGATTTCATCAGTGTCAAGAGATCCTTTTTCTGGGGAGCTATGATATGTGGCCACGGATTTCTCTTCCTCCTCTTTGTTTACACTAAGGGTTTCACTGAAGCATTCAGAATCACTACTGATCTCCTCTAAGAAATCTGTCAACTGCAACTCTAAGCTTACCGACCTGCAGGGTGAGGAAACTTGGCTTTTCCTTGTGGCTTCGGAACCTCTCACCTGGTGAGTGTAAGTCTTTTCCAACAGATGGCTCTTTTCACCACCTGGGGACAGCTGATCACCAGCTTCACTGGCTGTATCCTTGCAATCATTTTGAAACTCATCAGTTGATTCCTGGGCATAACCCACATTTTCTCTCTTTTGTGGTTTATGCTCAGGATCCTGAGCACAAATGTTTGACCAGTAATCATCTTCTTGATACTGTTCTCTCCTTTCCAGGTTTTGCATTTGGTTCAAACTGGTTGAGTGATGCCTATGTCTTCTCAAATGGATCTGAAATCCACTTCCCTTAGTATGGACATCCCTCTCCCACTGGCATGGGCTTTCCATGTGAGCTGGTTCTAGGCAGACACGGGCGTATTCTGGAGTTTGATAATAGTTTAACAGATAGTCAATAAACTCATCTGTTTCATAGATCTTCTGTTTCCTGTCACAGTCTCTCTCAGATAATGCAGAAGAACAGGATTTATCAGAACGGTAGTGGTCTTTCTCAAGAGACTGATCCTGAATCGTTGTAATCTGCAAGGAATTCTGGTCAGAAGACAAATTATAATTGTACCCATCAGTTAATAATGTTCCAGTTCTCTCTTTTCTAGGTGAGTATCTTAATTTTTTTTTCCCAAGGTGGTGGGAAGATATATGTAAGTGAGCCCTAGTTCTTTTCTTCATTTTCTGTTTCCGTTTATTGTCTGACTTTGTGACCTCATATTCGGGCATTTCCTCCTGATTTGGAAGATGCTGAATGTTTAATTCTTCCTCTTCCAGAGTTTCAAATGTCTTCCCTGGAACATGATTACCTTTGGGGCCTGTATCGTCCACCTCCTGTGGGTTAAACTGTGTGGATCCCTTCAAAGAAAAAGGTTAAAAATCTCACATGAGAAACCAAACAGATATAAAACTTCCAAAGATCAATGGGCTTTCTGGCACTGTTCTGAAGAAACTTCTAATATCTGGGATAGATCCAAATTAGGAACAATGTTGCACTGAGGAAATAGGAAGTACAAAATGCAATGACTGAGCTGGCCCCATAACTCAGTGATTAAGGGAACCAGATCCCACATGGCACTGTGGTTCAAATCCCAGCCCCGGTGGCTTAAAAAACATGCCAGGTGCCTGTGTTAGCAGGCTAAAATCCTGACGGGAAGGAGAAATGGAGGAAAAAAGATTGTGATATGACCATGCCCTGTTGAGGGGAAAGCTCTCTCTCTCTCTCTCTCTCTCTCTCTCTCGTGCGCGCGCGCGCACGCACATGTGCCCTACAGCAACTAAAAATGAATTACTTATTCTAATGTGAGCAACTGTTACTAGGTCTGTAACCATCCTTACATCAGAAGGCACCATACTTAACATGACCTTCAAAGCACATGACCCTGTTTTCACTTGGTCAGAAATGGAAGAGCCTACCATTCTACATACTGTGCTAGGAGTTGCAAATACTAAGAAGAGTGAGAAATGCTCTACAGCCCACCCAGGAAAATCCCAGTACAAGAATGATGGATGAAATGTGTGACTAAAAAGGCCAACTGGCTTAAAAGATAAACTCTTTCTGTTTTTTATTCCAACCTCTTACCATAAATTGCAGGCGAGGCTGCCTCTGTGTTGCTCTGCTTTGCCCACCTCAGGAAGAAACAAGATGGAAAGTAGAAAATGTGGCCGGGACAGCAGTTCTGTGTGAGGTCATGTCTGTGGTACTATCTGCTCTGCACAACCTCAGAGCAGGTGAAAGGTGCTGCTTTTCACACAGCACACAATGCCTACTCATTATCTGGGATTAAAATCTGGGGACTACATAACCAGTGTCTGTATCAATGGGGCCAAGAATCAGACACCACATTTAAAGAGACAAATTCTTTAAAAAGGAGTCACCCTTGGTGGTTATGAAGGTAAACCAAAAAATTCCATCTAGCCTTGTTATTAATATAAATGTAAATGTGAGTTTTTCTGATCCTGATTTCACTGCTTGATCATTTACACTAATAGGAAAGAGGCCAAGACCAAAAATATATTAAATTAATTCTATGCAATATTAATGGCATTCACTACTCATATAAGGTTTCCAAGAAGTTCAGGGAAATGCATATTATGAATAAACTATACATGGACTTCAAATTTTTTGTACTGATATGAACTCATACTTTTATCCCATTTCTCCACATACCTTTTGAAGTCCCCTCATACTATTTGAAAATACTGACTATGGGGGCTCACATCCGGAGACTTCCCTGAGTATGCCAGGCATGCACATGCCTATTATCGAGAGCTGGCTGAGGCTGGGGGTGGACTGAAGCATTAAGACCCTATTGGGGGGCCAGCAGGTGGCACAGTGGTTAAGGCACTGGACTCCCGCATGACTGACTGTGGTTTGAACCCCAGATCTGGCAGCTTGAAATTCATGCCAAGCATGTGCATGCCCAAAATCCCTGGAGGAGAAGGGATTGCTGTGTGGCCAAACCTTCTGGGGTGATTTCTCACTTTCTCTCTCACTGTCTCTGTCTCTCTCTAGTGGATGCACATATCCTATGCAAAAACCTTTTTAAAAAGACTCTATTGGGGATTCTCTCTCTCTTTCTTGCTCACTTGTGGAATAAATAAATCAATAAACTTTAAAAAATAAATAAAAATACAGCTTATAGATTTTTAAATTAACACTTGGGGAGCCTTCCTGTCTTTTAATCCAGGACATCTGCTGAGTCTCACTATCTCTACAAGCTCAGGAAGGAAAAGAAACACCTTCCAAAAGCAAATCCTCGAAACAAAACAATTGCTTTATGAGGTGAGACATTCCTTCTCAAATAGTTTAAGACTAGACTAACATGAGCTTGCTACAAGGGTCAAGGCTTTCCCGTCTCATCCAAGCCTGTTACAGATGAATGGCTACATAAATAGAAAACTATAAACCTAATGACCATACTATCGATTTCTTCTCCCTGGCATTTTTCTGTTACATTCATTAGGAACTTAGAAATGTAGATAAACTAGCTAAATTGCTCTAGGTAATAGTTTAGAAATGTGTGTGTGTGTGTGTGTGTGTGTCTGATGGCAGAGTTGAGACACAATTCCCTTAGTGAATGCGGATCTCTCTTTTGTAAATCCACAATTAGAGTTATTAGAGATTTGCCTATTTAAGATTAACCCCAATGGATGCAATGAGCCTTCCGTGGAGTCCATTTTCAATAGGCCACTGCTAGAATGCAAAGGTGATATCTGAGCAAGTTAGTACCCACCAAAACTGAAGAACAATTGGGAAATAGCCTTACTGCAATTTTCCTCAGGAGTACCCGCAGCAACCGAAGGCCCCCCCCCCGCCTCTGAGCCAGCAGGTACTTCCTCTCCTCCCACTCCTCTGAAGAGTCCGGCTCCTGAGGTGCCTCAGCTTTGCCTTTGTCCTTCTGTTTCCTTTGTCGGTGTCTGTCCCTTTCCTTCAGGGCTCGCTTCCTGACCCTGGCCTTCTTCCTCTTTTCCTGGGCTTTCCTCTCCTCATCTTTTCTTTTTCTGGACAATAATTAAGATTAAACCATTCAGAAGGTATTTATTAAGCATTTGATCTCCTACCTCTTTCTCCCCACCAGAGGAGAACAGATCATTTAAGTTTCCAGGAATCTATCACTGCTAATCCCAGGGACAGCATAGACCAAAAAAAAAAAGTATTAAGAAAAACATGAGGGACAAGCCTAGGGCCTGCTAGTTAAGGGAGCTGGCTCCCACATGGCCAGCCACACAGTTGTGTCCTGGACATGGCAACTTAAAACACACTGGGTGCATGTGCATGTACATACATGTGTATGCAAAGTCCCAAAAGGATGAGGCAATGGAAGAGAGGGGATTGTGGCATGACCATGCCCCATTGGGGTGCTTTATCTCCCACTCTCTCTGGTGAGTACACATGCCCTTTGGTGATTTTAAAAAATGACATGGGGTCAGTCCTAGAGCCTAGCAGTTAAGAGAGCCAGATCCCACGTAGCCAACCACAGTTCAAATCCTAGCCCTGCCATGTTTCAGAAAGTGTGTATGTGTGCCCCAAATCTCAACAGGGTGGAGAAATGGAGGATAAAAAAATGTGGTATGACCATACCCCATCGGGATGAGCTTTCTTCCTCTTTTTCTCTGGTTCTCTGTCTCTCTGGCAATTGTGCATGCCCATTAGCAATTAAAAAAAAAGAAAAAAGAAAAGAAAGACACAATTTGGCCAACTAGAAGCATGTAAAGGAGACCTTATGCAGAGATAGAATATCAAAATAAAGAAAGAAATAAAAAGAATGCTATAGAATTCAAAGGAGGGCTCTCTAGCCTCCAAGTTCTCAAACTACAAGCAAAGATTACAGGATCCAACTTTCATAATGAAAATTATATGGGTCCTGAGATCTAAACCTGTGAGTTGGCTTCACACAGGCAAGTAAAAATGAGTCAAAGCACTCAGAAAATCTTCAGGGTGAGAACTGGTCCTTGGTACATTTTACTTAACACAGTATACCATTAGAAACACATACTAGCTTAGAAGGATATTAGCTTTTTTTTTTTCAATTGCTGCGCTCAGGAAATTAGAATTTTTTCAGTTAGGTTCTTATGACAAAGTGGGGAAGGAGAAAGAGGGGTCAATTACCTGAGTCAGGATTTAGTCAAAAGCTAGAGGATTATCTGACTTGGATGTTCAACCTGAATTTGGGAAGGGAAATATTTATTTTTGGGGGGCTCAAACTCTGGCCAAGTTTCACAGATGTGATTGACCTTGGGTAATTCTTATCCCAATGGTCAAAAATGTAAGGGGCTCATGGAAGGGTATTCTTTATCTCCTTTTTTGAACAGCAATAATTCACATGAAATGATTGAAAGAATAAGTATGTGCAAGGAGGACTCAGGAGATAATATTAGTTCCCAATAGTTATAGCCCATCTGTACCTTTTTTTTTTTTAGTTTTTGTTGTTGTTGTTGTTTGTTTGTTTGTTTTAGTTTTCGCTATAGGGTGTATACACTTGATAGAGTCAGAAGGAAAGTGAGAAATCACCCCCCAGAGGGGATGGCCACACTGTAATCCCTTCTTCAATCTCCTCTCAGGATTTTGGGCACACATACATACATACCCAGAGTGATTTTCAAGCTGCTGAGTCCAGGACTCAAACCACAGAGTCCACTATATGGGATGCAGGTGCCTTAAACTCCATGCCACCTGCTGACCCAATCCATTAGCCCTTTCTAAGCTCAAATCACTGAATTGAGAAACAATGATAAGCTCAAAGAAATAAATATTGAAGCTCCTTAAACGCAGAAAAAATTTAGGCCAACAAGAAAAAATGGTCCCCAAAATGCCATATCTTCTTGCCAAAGGGTAAGTTTAATCATTTACCATTTTACAGAAGAAACCTATGTTTTTCTTTTTAAATTTTAAATCAGTAAGCTAGGTAATGTTGGTAGATTTTAGGAGTCAAGTGGCAACACAGTAGTAAGACAGTTGGACGCACATGGGAAAGGTCCTACGTTTACCTCCTGGGACCTCTCTGTGTGTGCTGGGCACACATGTGCCCATGATCCAAGACAGCTGGGAATAGGAGTGGATCGTGGCATGAAGATCCTGTTATGAAGATCCTGTTAAGGATGCGCCCACCCTCTCATGAAATAAATAAGTAATCTTTTTAAAATATTGGTACATTTTAGGTCAATTGGTAAAATTTTTAATTTGTTAGAGCTAGAATTTTCTCTATGAAAGTTCCTGGTACATTTTTCGTTGTTCTGTTTTGTATCATTTCTTTCCAGATATCTTAATCTAGCTAGTCCCATTATTTCCTAATTACTTGTTCTCCCTGACAAACTTTAAAGTGTCTTATTTTCAGGATTAGTAGATGGTGTAATGGTTACATTGCTAGACTCCCACATAGTCAATTGCAGTTTGAGTTCCGGACCCAGCAACTTAAAACTCACACTGGGCACGTGTGCATGTGTGCTCAAGATCCCAAGGGGAGAATAGAGGAGAAGGGACTGCGGCATGGCCATCCCCCTGGGGGGTGATTTCTCACTTTCTGCCTCTCTGCCTCTCTAGAGAGTGCATGTGTCCTAAAGCAAAAATCTCTTTTTTTAAAAAAAAAAAGGTGTCTTATTTTCAACTACTTTATCATTTTGGTTTTATAACAACACAACTAAAAGACTATAGCCTTCAATGGAGTTATTTTTCCAATATGCAATGATTCCTGCCCCCCTAACTCAATGTTAGGTATCAAGTACAGCCATTCACCCAAAGGGATTAATCCGTAAATCAAAAGAACATACCTTTGTTAAAGTTCATTTACTTACCTTTCAGCCACTTCCTCTTCTCTTTTCTTTTCTTTTTTCCTTTCTTCCTCCAGTTCTTGTAATTTTAGTCTTTCCTGATTTCTCCTCCTTATAGCTCCTTCACTGAAGTGTTTGGTTGTATCAAACATAACCTGCCCCCAAACAATTCGAAGTTTCATTAGAAAGTTTGACAGCTGGTTGGCTGTGCTCCAAGCCAGATAGATAAAATTAAGATGGTACATGAAAACTCAAAACCCATTGTATCCTGGGCCTGCTCAGTGGCACAGCAGTAAAAAGTTGCTTAAGCAAAGCTGGATCCATACAGATCACAGGTTTGATTCTCTAGTCAACTTGTACATACCGGGTGCATGCATCCATGAGCCTGGCTGGCTGGGAAGACTGGGGGTGGAGTGTGGCGTTAGACCCTGTTGCAGGTGCCTGTCTTCCCTTTCACTCTCACTTATTCTCTGTCTCTCAATTAAACTTTAAAAAAGTGAATTCAATGTGCACTCCTTACATCCTAGTACCCATACTATTCCACTGCTTCTCAGCCACCAGTTGAACATTACTTGGGGACTCCAGAACTTTCTTTAGCAGAACCCTTGAATAAGTATATCAGACCATCATCTTAAATGCATACAATTTTGTTGGTTAATCATACCTCAATAAAGCTGTAAATCACAATGCTTGAGCTGACTTCATATATGATCATATAAGTAGCATCCATGCTGCCATCATAGGCACAGACTGAGTAATGTGAGTATATTACCTATGGTTTGTTCCAAAGATCAACTGAGTGCATGTATTTTGTGGGTCACTGGAAAAGTCATGACATATTTTCCTGTTTTTCTATGCAAAAATGTACCATGACTTTTCCAACGACCCAACATCTTATCACTAGAGACAAAAATAATCAAAAAGTGAGTCTTTTTGAGTGTGTGTGTGCATGCACGCATGCCTTGCTGGGGATCAGGGGAAGCAAAGAGTCAAGAAATCTTACCTAATGAGATATAAGATCTGTCTATCATGATTATTACACTACTTTTCAAATCTTGAACTAAACTGAAAGTCAGATTGAAGCACTATAAAATGGACTTTTTAAAAAAAAATAAAAGAAGATAGAGTAGCCTTTTAAGTATGTATGAGATTGGGCAAGCTGGGTAGTATAGTGAAGCACTTGTGCATATGGAGCTGGATACCACATGGCTGACCAAGGTTCAAATCCCAGCCCTGGAAGCTTGAAAAACATGCCAGATGAATATGCATTTGTGACCCAAATTTTGACAGGTTGGAGAAATGAAGGAAAGTGGATTGTGGTGTGACCATGCCCCATTGGGGGATGAGTTCTGTCTCTCTGAGGAATGTATGTGCATACTAGCAAAATTTTTAAAAAGTTTTAAAAATGTATTAAAAATGGTAAACAAATTCATGATCTTAGTTACCTCTGAGGGGCGAGAGGGAAATATGCTTGAGAATAGGCATTTGGAGGGATCTTACTAGTCATACTTTACTTTTTAAGTAGTGGAACATGGACAGTCATTACAGTATTTGTTATACCTTTTGTCTGACTGAATATCTCTTCATTTACAAATATGCCTTTTTTAATTGCCAGAGGGTATGCTCGCTCACCATGAGGGAGAGGAAGAAAGCACCCCCCAATGGGGTGTGGTCATGGCACAATCCCGTCTCCTTCATTTCTCCATCCTGTTGGGATCTGGGACAAGCACATACACGCCCAGTGTGTTTTTCAAGCTGCCAAGCTAGGACTAGTACTGAGCAGTCAGCCATGTGGGATCTGGCTCTGTTAACCACTAGGCCATGGGGCCAGCCCTATAAATACACATTTTTACATAAGGAGCCACACACACACACATATGCACACAAACACACACACATTGAGTCATACACTGGAAGGTGAAAGTCCAAATTCATGCTAAAAACTGATATAGAAAAAAAGGGTTTAGTTGCATCTTTTCCACTGGCGGGTTAAGACTTCACTTCAAGTAGATTACCAAAGCATGCAGACATCAATGAGGTGACATGATTAGATAAACAGGCTGATTTTGAAATAAAGGATCCAGTTTGTTAGAATTATTTTGTAGCAGTATACCTGACAGACATCCTGAAAATGTAAGTTGTGACCCCGTGAGTCACGGGGAGTAAATAAACTGCTCTCCTTGAGGTTTCGAACTGCATGTATCCCTTTCTCTCTCAGCAACTTGTCAAATATAATAAGCATATGAGATAGTTCCATAGGGGCCATGAAGAATCCTTTAATGCCTTCCAGAAGTTGGATCAGCGCCTGAGATTATAACAACCATCACTTTAAAATCACAGTTTGCAGCATGCCTGATAGCAGAAGAATGAATGTTCAAATCAAGATTATTTTTCTTCCTAAAGATCCATTTATTAAGGACAACATAAGTCTTTAAAATTAACTGTTGATCAGAGTCTGGTGGGTCTAAGGAAATTTATTCTAGATGTTTCCTTCTAGCTTTTATTCAGGATCACCTGAACAGTGGAAAATAAAAGAAACTCTGGCTACTTTTTCCCTTAATGTTACATGCCAGAGCTTTCCCATCATCTCCTTTAAGCATCAGCTTCATGCCTCGAAGGGACTCCATGGCTTTTACAAAGTCAGTTGACTCTTGGTACTGTATAAAGGCCTCGAAAGTCTGCAAGCCAAAGCTAAAACCCCCAAAGCTTCCACCAGTCATCACTTCCCTGTAGGGGTCAAGCATAGGAATATCCACATTCTTGATCTTCCCAAAACTTTCAAAGACAACTCGAAGGATCTCTTCACATGGCTTTTCCCCACTTGAACCTTTGGGTGCAAACCACTTACAGGGCAAGCCTTCAAAGTATATGGAATCTGGGTTTTTATCGACGTCCTGCTCTTCAGCCCCATCACTCAGTGAGGCCCCTTTTTCCTTGGGGAATTGTTCCCAATCTCCCTGGGCATCTGTAGCCACTACTTTTAAGTCCATTTTCAAACCATTTAGCTTGATGATCTTCCCATGCAACTTTGCCTTCAGGATCTGAACCAAACTTCGGGTTTCAGCCTCCCCCTCAAATCGGATAAAGTCCTTTGTACTCTTTGATAGCCGCACTGTGGTGAACTGGTCAGGGCAAATCAGGCTCTTCAGCTGGTCAAGAACTTCCCAGTTAGAAAAGGGCCTCACATGTTCTACACTCTCTGGGAGCAATACATTGATCATCAATTTTGCTATGGGCTTGAGGTAGAGGTGTTGAGCTGCACAGAGCTCTGTAGCTTCAGAGTTATCATACACCACCGTGACTGTCATGGTGTCCTCAGACCACCTTAGAGGGCAAAAAAGAAAATGTTGATAAATGGAGCAAAACATAGATTTGAATTGTGAAATGGTGCTAGCATTGCTGTACTTAGGTCCAATTCATAGGGAGAGCCTGCTATGGGTAGGATTAAAATAATATCTTACAACTACTGGAACTAACAAGTAGTTACAGCAGGATTGCAGGATACAGGTTAATACAAAAAAGTCAATAGCTTTCAGTAACATGTACATTAGCACTTTAAACAATGAGGTACTTAGAAACCTCACAAAATATGTACAAGATCTATATAAAGAAAACTACAAATGTCTGATAAAAGCTATCGAATAATTAACCATGTGGTCCATGGATAGGAAGAATCAAGATTTCAGTTTTTCCCCACTTGATCTATAGTGTATACGAACAAATGGGTTGTAAAGTTTACATGGGGTGACAAATGACCCAGAATAGCTAACTCAATATTGAAGGAGCAGAACCAAGTTGGAGGCCTGACACTAACCAACTTTAAGACTTACTTTAAAGCTTCAATAAGGTAATACCGCACAAAACAGTGTGGTATTGGTGAGAAAAAGTAAGACAAATAGATTTATGGAGCAGAGTATAGAGTCCAGAAATAGACCCATAGAGTCAACTGATCTTTTGAAAAAGGAACAAAGACAATACAATGGAACAAAGATAGCCTGTTCAATAAATGGTGCTGGAACAAATGGACATCCATATGACCTTGGTTTGGGCGATGACTTTTCACATGTAACACTAAAGGAACAATCCATGAAAGAAATAATTGATAAGCTGGACTTCATTAACATTTAACACTTCAGTTCTGCAAAAAGACACTGTCAAGAAAATGAAAATACAAGTCACAGACCGGGAGAAAACATTTGCAAAAGACCTGTCAGATAAAGAACTGTAATGAAAGGACTCCTAAAATTCAATGATAAGAGTATAATTTAATCATTTGAAAATGAGCCAAAGACCTGAACAGATGCCTCACCAAAAAAAAAAAAAAAAGATATAAAGGTGGCAAAAAAGCAAATGAAGAGATGCTCCATGTCCTAAGTCATGAGGGAAGTGCAAATTAGAACAAGTCTTCACTACACATTTAGAATGATCAAAATCTAGAACACTGACCACATCAAATACTGATGAGGAAGTGAAGCAAGAGAAACGCTTAGTCTTTGTTCATGAGAATGCAAAATGGTACAGCCACTTTGGGAAGGCAATTTGGCTGTTTCTTACAAAACTAAACATACTCTTGCCATATGATCCAGCAATCACACTCCTTGGCATTTACCCAAGGGAACTGAAAACTGTATCTCCACAAAAACCTGCACGTGGATATTTATAGAAGCTTTATTCATAACTGCCAGAAGCTGGAAGCAACTAAGATGTTCTTCAGTAGGTGACCGGATAAATAAACCGTGGTACGTCTAGACAGTGAAATATTATTCAGAGCTAAAATAAAATGAGCTATCAAGCCATGAAAACACATGGAGGAAACTTGTACATTAGTGCATGTTGCTAAGTGACAAAAGCCAGAATGAAAAAAACTACATATGGTATGATTCCAACTATATGATGTTCTGGGAAAGGTAAACAATGAAAAGATCAGTGGTTACCAGGGGTTAGAGTGGAGAGAGAGGATGAATAAGCCAAGAGCAGGGGACTTTTAGGGCAGTAAAACTGCTCAGTATGATATTATAATGGTGGATACATGCCATTCGACATGTGTCCAAACCCACGGAATGTACAACACCCAGAGTGAACCCTAATGTAAACTATGGACTTTGAGTGATAATGATGTGTCAATGCAGGGTTATCAACTCTAACAAATGTAGTAACTCTGGTAGGGGATGCTGCTAATGGAAGAGGCGACGTGTGTGAGGGCAAGGGGTATATGGGAAGTCTCAGTATCATCTCAATTGTCCTGTAAACTTAAAACTTCTCTAAAAGATAAAGTCTGTAAACAAATCATATCTAGTATTTATTTAATAACATTTGTTTAATGTACTTTAGACCTGTCAAAGAGTTTTCATATACTATGTCTCTTTAACCATTATGAGACACATGATTTAACCATAAGGAGGCAAACCACTGTGTTAAAAAATAGAGATAATGGCATTTCTGGGCAGATTAAATGACTGAGTTAAGGTGAAATCCTTAGAATAGTGCCTAGTACACAGGAAGTTCTCAATAAAATATAAAGTTATAATTTTAACTATTGATGGTAGTAGTCTTTATCTCATTTAATTCATGAAGAAACCTGTGAATAGGTATTTTCATGGTTATTTTTACAGATTGGGAAATTCAGTCAGATTCAGGGACACTGAATGATTTGTTCATACATTGAGACTTAAAGATTACAGATCTCTAGTCTATTGTACGATTGATCTCAAAGTCCAATCAAAACCTGCTGGGGTGGTACAAAAATAGGACAAGGATAAAATTTATGTAACACATTAATAAATCTACACCCAACTGATAGTTATAACCCATGTACCTGATTTAGCCTCCTTGTTGAGGTTGGTTTCTAAGCTTTAAATGAACATAGATACTGGGGGGAGGGGCATGTATTTTTTTAGACAGGTTGTCTCACAATCTTCCTGCCTCAGCATCCCAAGTCGCTGGAAGCACAGGCTGGCACCCACTACCATGCCCAGCTTTGTCTTCTCTTAATGCCTTCAGTCTACTGACTTTAAGTAAGTTGACCTTTAAGTTCAAGTGAATAGGAGACAAGATCTTCTGGTGAGTGATAAAGTGAATTTTCCTTCTACTTTGGGTCTGAGAAGCCCCCAAAATATGAGTGCTTTCTGGCATTTCATATTAATAAACCCTTTTAAACTGCCCAAAGATGAATAAGATGGTTAATGCTAGATTTGAGCTTCTACTTCTTACTTCAAAGAGCACTTCTCAATAAAGAGGTTTTTTGCTAAAAGTGGATGTATTTAGTCTATGTCTACATAAAGGCTAAATACATTAATGTCAATTTTAGGGACATTTAGGCCCAAATATATATGGCCAGATGATAGAAAGTCTAACACAAAACATACTAAGTTTTGCTTAACTTTATAGGTAGAAAATTCTTTAATAACTATCTCTGAAGAACAATCCAAGTCAACTTCTTTTAGAAGATAAGGTTTGTATAGACTGAGTGTATAAAAGGTCATCAAAAGCAGTATCTAAGAGGAACTGGCCCCATGACCGAGTGGTTAAGGCAGCCAGATCCCGCACAGCCACCCACACAGTTTGAATCTGGCTGGGTCTCATCAGATTGAAAACTATACCAAGTGTGAGTGTGTGTGCAGGGGTACCCAAAATCCCAACACAATGGAGAAATGAAGGAAAAGGGATTTTAGTGTGACCACTATTGTGGGGTGCTTTCTTCTTCTCCCTATCTCTCTCTGGTGAGCACATGCACACTCTGGCCATTTTTTTTAAAAAGAAAGAAAAGAAAAGGAAAAGAAAAAAAAGAAAAGAAAAAGTTATTATTATCTAGAAACCCTTAAGATACCAACACAGGGGACCAGCAGATGGCATAATGGTTATATTGCTGGACTCTCACGTAGTCGGCCACAGTTCGAGTCCCGGACCTGGTGACTTAAAACTCACACCGGGCACGTGGGAGTGCGTGACCAAGATCCCAAGAGGAGAATGGACTGAGGCATGACCATCCCTCCAGGGGGTTACTTCTCACTTTCTGTCTTTCTCTCTCTCTCCAGGGCATACTTGTGGCCTCTAGAAAAAACTTCTCAAAAAAAAAAAAAAAAAAGATAGCAACATTGAACTGGGATAATGTGAGAATAAACATGTTTTCTTTCTTTCTCCAAAAACATTATTTAGACAGTGAAATGAAAAAAATCCAATCAGTTTGTTGCAACTTGCTATAAGAGTCAACACTAAGCTCCTTTTGGAGAAAAGTTAATTTGAAACCAAACTAAGATATACTGAACTCCAATTTTTTCTTTATAGTCAATATTTATTTATTCAGATAACTTGATTTAAAGCAATATATTTTTTCATTGCAGAGGGAATGTATGTCTGCCACAGAGAGACAAAGGCAGGGTGGGGGGTAGAAATCACCCGCCACATGACATGTTTTTCAACCCACTGGGGCTGGGATTCAAACTGTGGTTGGCCATGCAAATCTGGTTCCCTAAACTACTAGGTTACAGGGCTGGCTCAGAAGCAATAGATTTTTTAAAACATTCCAATTCCAGCCTAGGAGGTGCAGGTCATAGCATACTGGATCACAGAACGGGAAGTTTATGCTGGACGCCACATGACCAACGTTAGATTTGGATCCCTGGCCTGGTCAGCCTGAAACACACCAGACGCATGTGCACACTCCCAAGATCCTGAAGAGCTAGAGGGCTGGAGGAAAGGGACCACAGCCTGACATATAAAATGGGTGATTCTTTGTCTCTATCTGTCTGTCTCTCTCCTCCCCCCACCATCCTTACACACAAATGCTCATATTCACTCTCTATTATGAAAACTTCCAGGGGAAAAAACACTCAAAATAGTCACATTGAACTAATCAGGTTTGTTAAACTCTCAACTTAATCCAGTGATTCTGTCTTTGTTTTAAACATTGTAGACTGCTTCTCTTGGATTGATTTGAAAGCCTGGGTTACATTCTTTTAACTAGCCTTAATGGAGATCAATTTCTAAATTATTTTATCATGGACTTGATAGATAGATAGATAGATAGATAGATAGATAGACAGACAGATACTGAACTAAGACATAATATAGCTATCTATCTATATCTATATATAGAGAGATTGAAGACCTAAAATATACCAAATAGTAGGCTTTTTCATATGTCATGGCTTCAGTGCTATAGCAATGTCATGGGAACTGATGCTAGAACACTAAAAATTAACTAGCATATGTGTATGTAAATATATAGATATAGATAGATATAGATATATTTATACACATACATGTATATATGTGTATGTATATGCATACATGTATATATGCCATATATATGCCATAAATATATA